AATGCCAAGCGCTGTCCGATACAGTTTTCGCAGTATAAGGAAGAGCCCCCGGGTGGGGACGAGGGCCACCCAGGAGGCCCCAAAGGGGGAAAAACACGGGAATGGTAGCGTAATATGGGTACCTCTTCCTTCCCCGAGAGCCCTCGGGCTCTGCACCAGGAAACTGCAACTGTGGCGTCAAAAACCCGGAGAATTGGCGGTGCAGTCCAGAAGCGCGTGAGACCGAAAAACCCTTGGGAGACGCTTGCAGGGACGCTGGCAAGGATGCCTGGGGAGCCTGCAAGCCCGAGAACTGGAGAGCGTCCGAGGAGCTTCCAAGGATTGAGCAGGGACCGACCGTCCCGAAATGTCTTATAGAGCCCAAAAATGCTCGAAGAACAAAACTAGATCCTTAGAGCATGAACCCGATATGCCAAAGCAAGACAACCCCAGCCAGAAATTGTCTAAGCACATCTCGTGGAAGCCACAGAAAAAGGTTCTTCGAACGTTGCTTGGCAGGGCTGTTTAGGCGAGCCAGGACGCCTCGTCGCCACTGCTTCCAAGGAAGGGGTCTCTCTTCCTTCCCCGAGCGCCCTCGGGTCCTGCACCGGGTACCTCTTGGCGGTGGACAAACCTCCCTTCAGTGAACCTCCCCTTAGCGAAAACGACTCCTGGGGCCGAAATCGACGGACCTGGACCCGCAGAAATGACGGCCGCGACGCCCTCTCGCGAACCGAGTACGGCCCATTCCTTCATCGACGTGTCAGCGTACGAGGTCTGCCCACCTCCGAACCCCTTCCTCCCCCAGCGCCCTCGGGTCCTGCACCGGGAAACTGCAGATGTGGCGCCCCAAACCACATAAAGCCCGTCAAAACCCGAGCTTCCAGGGAACGGGCACCCCTTCCTCCCCCGAGCGCCCTCGGGTCCTGCACCGGGAAGTTGCACACCTGCACCGTGGAGTTCTTCGGGATGGGGCCCTCGTCCTGGCCGCGGCCCCCGGCGCGGGGGGCCGCCCGCCGCGCCGGCCACCCCGCCGCGCCGTCCCCCCGAGGGCATGTTGGCCGGCCCCCCGCGGAGGGGAGGGGAGGGAGGGGGGGGGGGGCCCAGCCCTCCCTCCTCGAGCCGCGACAAAAGTCACGACGGAAGCGCTTGTTTTTCCCTGCTTTCGGCCTCCGGGGGCCCCTGTCGGGGCCCCGGGGGCCGTCACAAAGAGGGAGCGACTCGGGATGAAGAGCTGGTCCCCGGGAAGGGGTCCAGACCTCTGGGGTCGAGAAGGAGGGAGGGAGGGGGAACGCCTCCCTCCCTGCTCCCTCCCTCCTTCACTCCTCCCTCTCCCTCCCTCCCCCTCCCTCCCTCCTCCCCGCCCCTCACTCGCCTCCGCGCTTCTTCTGGTGGCGAGCCAGAGGGGATGAGGGAGGGGGCGTGGGGGGCGGGGACGGGCGCGGGGCAAGGGGGGCGACCTGCCAAGAAGGAGGTCGGCACTTGAAGTCCGTGGGGGACGGAGACTCCGCTCATGCAGCCGATGCTCCCGGCGCCCCCCGGCGCCAGCGAGACATGCGTCCAGCGGCGGGGCCGGGGCCACCTGCACGCAGCAGAGTTCGCAACCGTTCCTGCCCCAATCCCCAATCCCACCCGTTCGTCCGGCCCGAGCGTGGCCGAAGGGCAAGTGCGCAGACCACTGGGCTTCGGTCGGGCATGTCCTCCTACAGGGGGATTCTGGACGCACGACGAATTAGAAACAGACTCCCAAAATGCTGAAAAACATACTCCGAACAAACTAAAAAGTCGTCCCCGCACTATTTTTGAATATACCTCCTGAAGAGGGACAGGCCCGACTTACCCACTGGGCATCGACGCGCGGCCAGGCCCAGCGCCCAGAGGGCAGAAGCCAAGGGAAGCTGCCGTGCCCAGAGGGGCAGACTGGCGCCTCCTGGGGCCACATCTTCTCGGGATCCCACGGGCCACGGCGGGAGAGGAGGAGGCAGAGGGCGAAAGAATGGCAGCAACAACGGCCGGGACACGATCGAAGCGGGAAACAAACATCCAGGATCTCGGAGATCCTGCGGTTCTGGAGGATGCATCGTGACAAGCAAGGAAGAGGGCTCCGAACACTTTGGGGACGGACCCGAGTCGAGGGCCCCAAGACATTGGGGATAGTGAGGCCACGCCTTCACTGTGTTATCAGGCTTAGGGGCTCCTTTGTCCTCGATGGCAGTGGTCGCCGCCGCAGCGCTCCAGAGCGCTCCGAGTGCGCTCCGCAACGCTCCGGAGCGAGTTGTGTCCTGGTCCCGGCCCCGCCCGAGTCTCGGGCCCCGAATCCCTTACAGTCCGGGCGTTGACCTAAGGAACCCTAAATAAGGAACGAGGCCCCTTTTTTCCATAAGCTAGACTTCGATTTCCTATCGAAAACACAGGGAAAACCTGAGGCAAGCTGTGAAACACTTAAGGAACGCGGAGCCCCTCCCCAACGAAAAGGGTTCCTTCTTCAGGGCCCCGACTGTACGGGTCGGCCAGGGCCCAGGCAAAAAAGAACGACGATGGTCGATGATCCCACGTTGGGGAGCAACTCCTGGGAGGTCTTCGTTAGAACGATAACGGGCTATTGAATCCGATGAAGAGGCAACTTGGCATCCCGAACAAAGATCGGGGTCCGGAGGCTGAGTCGTGACTGGCTTTCCACGGCGGCAGATGTCGAGGCTCCCTGAGATCCTCGCGCCTCAATGTTTTCGAACCTGGTGCTTTTGTCAGGTTTCTGACCCTGGGACCCTCACAGATCGCTCTGGCTCGCAAACTGGCGCAGACAAATGCAGTCTAGGGCTCAGGTCGTGATTTGTTACGATGTCTTCATTTGTTCGCGCCGTCGGATGTCAGAGTTCTGCGTTTCGCCAACCGACGCAGATGCGCAAAGAAATCGGGTCGGAAGCCTGCCGACGCTCGGCCTGAGCCAGGGCGGCAGCAGCAGTCGGAAAAGGCACCCCCGACCTCCCCGTCTGGCGCGCACGACGATGCGGATCGCCTCGGCGATACTTCTCCCGGTCGGTGCTGGAGCCTGGACCCTTTGATCAGGTCATCATTGGTTAGGACGGCGATGGAGACTGAATACCTATAGACTCTCCGCGGGCCCATCGGGATAAGAACCCCCTCCCCTTGGGGCAACCATCGGCAGGCCAGCTACTTGTTTGGAGGGGGGTCAGGGCAAACACCACCTGAGCGGCGAAAGGTAAGGAAGAGGAGGAGGAGGAGGAAGAGGAGGAGGAGGAGGAGATGGAGGAGGAGGCGGAGGAGGAGGAGGAGGATGAAGAGGAAACACCACCTGAGCGACGAAGAGAAACGGGTCTTACGCCAGGTGACGCAGCGACTCTGCGCCGCAGCTCACGCGGGCCGCCAGCGCGTCATGCCACATTGGAAAAGATCGGGGAGACGTAAGACTCGGGTACGGGGGACTCGGGCTGGCCTGACGGGGGCCATCATAAAAAGGACGAGACACAATCTGAAATTTAACGCGGGCTCCCGCTGCAGACATCCCACACAACAACTGGACCGTCAAGTTCGAGGACGCGCTCGTCAAAAAAAACTTCGGCGAACCCGCGTTCTGGCTGACCCCAGTCCTACGCTTCCCCGATTTAATGTCCGTGCAGACGACCTCGTTATTTCCTGCGTCGCTCACTACCCTCAGGTCGGGCACGTCCTCCTACAGGCGGATTTTTTGGACGGAACATGAAAAAGGATCAAACAAGGCACCCAAATACTCAGACATAGAAACAAAAACGTCCCCATACTATTGTTGGGCTATTTCTGTCACGCCCGATTCACAAGCCTACCCTGCACCTCCTCGCTCACGGCTCGCCTGTCTGCACCCCGCTTAGAAACCCAGACCGCGCCAACCGCTGCTGGTCGGCGCCGCGACAGTCGGGTCGGGCGAAAGAGGGGGATAGCAAAGGGGGGGTTCGAGAATCAGCTCACGTAGCTGATTTTCCTGGCGCCTCCCGGCGCCGGGAGGCGACTCTGTATCGAGGAATGGGCCCCGCGGTGGGGCCGAAGCCAGCTGCATGCAGCAAATTTCCTAACCCCCCCTTTCCCAATCCCCCCCTTGCGCCCGACCCGAGACAGCGGGCGGGAGCGCCTTTGAGGGGGAGGGGCGCGCGGGGCAGGGCCGCCGGAGCGGAGCGGACGGGCGGCGGCCTGGGCAGAGCAGCAGCCGGGAGCAGGCGGGGCAGGCGAGAAGTGCCGGGCAGGCGATGAATGCCGGCAGGCGATGCACGGGGCTCAACACCGACAGGAGGAGGAGGAGGAGGAGGAGGAGGAGGAGGAGGAGGAGGAGAGGGGATGAGGAGGGGATGAAGAGGAGGAGGAAGGGGGGGGGGGCGGAGGGGGCACTGTCTTGCCCAGCTCGCCACTGTTCGCGTCGAGTCCGCGTCGACTCCACGCGGAGTCCACATGCCTCCTCGAATCCTCCTCCTCGTTCCCCTCCTCGTCCTCCTCCACCTCCTCCTCATCCCTTCTCCCTCCCTCCCTTCCCTCCCCTCCCCTCCTCCCTCCAATCCTGCCTTCCCTCCCCTTTTCTCCACCTCCCCCCTCCTCCCCCCCCAGCCAGGCGGCAACCACTGGAGGGGGGGGGAGGGAGGAGGAACAACACAACAAACGAGGAGGGGGAGGAGGGAGGAGGGGGGGGGAGGGAGGAGGGGGAGGAGGGAGGAGGAAGGAGGGAGGAGGGGGAGGGAGGGGGAGGAGGGGGAGGGAGGGAGGAGGGGCGAGGATGGCTCGTCAAACGAAGAGAGAAGGTGGGAGGAGGAGGGAGGAAGAAAAGGCATGGGAGGCAGACGAAGAGGGGGACGCGGAGCAGGGCACGACGGGCCGGCACAGACTACTTATGCCATCCCGCGCTCCCTCCCTCTGCCGAGCACCGCTGCGGTTGGCCGACCCCTCTTGCAGCCCCGCCGGCCGATGCTTGGGGTGACCCGACCGGGGGTCCGGCTGAGATAGGGGAACAAAGAGTGGCATAAACAGAAAGACTCGGAGGTCCGCGCGGATTTCTCGGATCGGCGCTGGACCCCGCTCCCTGGCGCGCGGAGCGCGCCAGGAGCGGCGCCGGAGGCGCCGCTGGGGGGCCCCAGCGCCGATCCGAGAAATCCGCGCGGAGCTCCGAGTTGTTATGTTTATGCCACCCTTTTTTCCCCTACGGAAAGGGGGTGGTGCAAGAGGTTTGGGGCAACTGTATTACGAATGTACTGCGCCGGAGAAGTGTATCACCTTGCAGTGCAAGCAAGGTGTTGCACGCGGAAGAAATACAACACTGCATTTGCGCCCAGGCACGCATTGCACGCCCCAAATGTACTGCAGTCCTACAAATCTATTGCACCAAATCTGTTGCACCACCCCCTTGTCGCTGGACCCCCTTTTGGGTCAACCCGAGATGTGTAACCCCCCTGGATGGGGATACAGGCTGCTTCCTTCGGGTTTCCAGTCGAGCGTTTTTGTGTTCGGCGCTTTGACATTGGGCGGAAGGGGGATGGGAGGGGGGGCGCTCCGGACCTCTGCTCAGCGCGACTGTTTGCAACAGTGTGTCCTCTGGGGGAGGGAGTCCATCTGCTCGAAACAAGCGGTCAAAACAGCCAACATCTACTCCATGGAGGGGGGGGAGGGGGGGGGGCGAGGGCCCGCGCCGATCGGCAAAGCAATGAACAAAAAAGCGATCACCAGTGGTGATCCCCGATTGGGGTGCTGAGATGGTGGGGGCCTGGCTTGGGATGGGGAAGGGGATGGGTCGATGAAACCGTACTGGCTTCCCCTCCCCCCGCCCCTCCCCTGCCCCCGCCCCATGGGGCCCCGCAGGCTCCTCGACCGACCCTGGGCAAGAGTGACCTTTGGTGCGCGGCCGTCTGATATCGGATCGCGTCCGGCGAGCGGGGGACCCCCTTGGGCCCACACCAACGGCTGGCCATCGCTCTTACGTCCATTTCCTGTGCTTTTTTCGGTTTCGTGCGTGGTTTTTTCGCGAAGTGATCAAGGATGCTCCTCGATGGTCCTCGCCGAAGGAAAAATGCACACGTCCGAGCGATGCCAAGACGGTGACCCCGGCGAAAGGCTGCTCTCGCGCCCAGTCGAACTCCCACCCCCCCCCGCGCGCGCGGTGCGTGAACCGGGGGGGCCAACACACAGGCGCGCAGGAGGCCACTGTGGGATCGCGCCCGGCGACCGGGGGGCACCCTTGGGCCCTCATCAGCGGTCACCCCAGCGAACGGCTATGTAGCCTTTCGCCGTGCGCTGGAAAATACTCCCACGCCCAATCGAACCCCCCCCCCGCGCGCGCGGTCCGTGAAGGCCGCCTCCGGGCCACCGCCCGCGTCCACGGGCAGCTGCGGCGGGGCGCCCGCGGAGGCGAGGCTGGGCGTCGACAAATAGGTGTGGGGGGGGAAAGGAGCACTTCTCGGGCCCTGCGAGCCCCCTTTGGGACCCTAGAGGAGGGCCCTCTTGGAGCCCCAGAGGGCGCTTTTTCTGCAGCCCTCGCTGCCACCCTTGTACCCCCCCCCCATGACGCGACGCCCAACGAGGGGGAATGGGCGGGGCAAACCAGGCGGGAAGGTCAGGCCGCAACTCCCGGGAGCTGTTCGTTGGAAGGATGGAAGGCGATGAAGCCCGATTGGAGGGCCACTTTACCGGATCAGGCCAGACTAAGCACGGGATCAAGCCGGATCAAGCGAGACAGGCGGCTCCTGAAGCGCTGGCTCCAGGAGTCGCAGCATGGTGAAGAAGTCTGTAACGAGGTGAGCGACTCCTCCACTTGACGAGCTGACGAGCTGACGAGCTGAAGGCGCAAGACTCCTTCGGATGCCGCCCTCCCCCCCCAGGGCCGGTCGGCCCTGGGGGCTTGATCCAACCATGAGCCAGGCGACTCCTGGAACGTTCGCTCCGGGAGCCGCAGGCTGGTGAGGCAGTGTGCAGCGAGGTAAGCAACAGCAGGCCGTGGGGAGGGAGAGAAGGAAGAACGTGCACATGCAACCAAGAAGGAGGAAAAGGGATCAACCTGTTCCTCCTCCTCCTCCTCCTCCTCCTCCTCCTCCTCCTCCTCCTCGCCCCGAGCACGGAGAGGCCACGGACATGAACCGTGGGGAAAGGGGCCGCGAGGGAGCTACTAGGAGGGCCTCTCCTCATTCTCCACCACCCGCGACGCGCACACGGTGGGCACGGGGAGGGGGGAAGGCTGCTGAGGAGGCTGCTTCCCAAAGGCGCCGGCCCTACATCCAAAGAGAAGGCCAACGCAATCTAAGGAGCAGGGGGCTTCGAAGACACCTCTCGCCCTCCCCCATACCCCCCTCTGCGCGTGACCGACACCAGCAGGTGGCTGATTGATGCATATTCTCGAATAGGGATACATTGCATGACGTAGGCCGGCGGGGCTCCGCGCAGGTTTCTTGGATCGGCAATCTTATGTGTGTATGTCTAGGGTTGTTGTCCTTATTTTTCAAATGTACATATATATATATATATGTAATGTCTTGTCCTGCGACGGAATCACTAAATCAACCACATGCCGGTTGGAAGGTGCGGTCGGTGGAGAGTCACGGGAGGCCCGCTCGCATGTTGATGTAGTAGTCGTTCAGATGGTCCAACGCCTCTGACTTTGCCACCTGTGCCCAATTGTCGCAGCCAGCGGCTGTCAGCACATCCTGTTTAGTATCCTCCATCCACCGAGTCTTGCGGCGCCCTGGGCGTCGCTGGGCTGACGTAGAGGGGACGGTTGCAAACAATTCCTGAGAAGTCTTCGTGACATCGACGGGAAAATATGATAATATGCCGTGTATTTCCGCCAGGGTCGCTACGCAAGAGGGGTGCCGGGTAACAGTAATGCGTGAGCGGGAGGGGGCACATCGGTACGGGGGTGCGCTGCAATCGCCATCGTTTGTGAGCGAGCATCAGCATGTCGGGGGGGGTCCCGCCCCCCCCCCCCCGTAGCGCGATCGTTACAACCACCCGGGGAAAGACGGTGCTTGGCCCTGGTAACGACCGTGACGCGCCAGTGGCACAAACAAAACATGGAGGTCTCCGTAAGCATGATGAGAAAAAAACGTGCCGCATGAAGGGGTCATTTGAAATCATATCAGGCTAGATAATGCCCAATATTAGGCGGAAGTATACCAAGCGAGATCAAGCCAAATTGCCATGGACTGAGACGGATTAGGCAAGTTTCGACTTTGGACAGACCAGCGCCGAAGATGAATTAAGCCTCCCAGGAGTTGCATCCTACGGCAGGGAGGAGGATGAGAAGGAGGAGTAGGATTCAGGAAGGAGGAGGAGGAGGAGGAGGAGGACACGGAGGAGGAGGAGGAGGAGGAGGAGGAGGAGGAGGCAACAGCACCATCGGGCCGCCAGAGCTGTCACGAGGGGCTGTCAGAGCATCACGCGACGCCTTGCTGGCCTGGCAGGGCGCGCCCCCCCGCCTCGTCCATCTGCCAGGGCGACTGGTACCTGCCGGGTATCATGTCCTGCCGCGTCGCGGGGAGGGGAGCCGCGCGCTTGTTGAGGGTCCGTGGTGACGGACCGCGCGATGACCTCGCAATCCCCAAAGACCTCACCGCACGGTCCGCCAACACACGTTTTTCGGGGATGCACTGACCCGCCTGGTCAATGCAAATCTGGGCCAATAGGGCCTTGCAAGATCCAGCAAGATCCCAGGTCAATGTAAATCCGGGTCAATCGGGCCTTGCAGGATCCCGCAAGATCCTGCAGGATCCTGCACACACAAAGCACAGGCGAGTGCACCCCTGGCCCCGCAGGATCCTGCAACATCAGGCGGTCTGGCTGACCCCCGTTCGCGTGGACGCCCGTCTCGAACTCTTGTGGAGCTCGGAGGCCCCCTGTCGCCCGAGACGACGTCGGAGAGGGCGGGCCAAGCCCTGGACAACCGTGCGGCCACCACGAGCCACAAGCCAGCCCCAAGCCTCCTCCTCCTCCTCCTCCTCCTCCTCCTCCTCCTCCTCCTCCTCCTCCGCCTTCTCATCCTCCTCCTCCTCCTCCTCCTCCTTCCTCCTCCTCCTCCTCCTCCTCCTCCTCATTCCTCCTCTCCTCCTCCTCCTCCTCCTCCCCTCCTCCCTCCTCCCCCCCCTCCTCCCTCCTCCTCCTCCTCCTCTCCTCCTCCTCCTCCTCCTCCTCCTCCTCCTCCTCCCTCCTCCTCCTCCTCCTCCTCCTCCTCCTCCTCCTCCTCCTCCTCCTCCTCCTCCTCCTCCCCCCCCCTCCCTCCCTCCCCCACCCGCGACCCTCCCCGAGCTCCGCCTGGGGCTGCCCACCTGGGTGGCCACGGAGGCTCCAGGGAGCGCCCCAACGGGCGCGAGGCGCCGCCTCCCGCCTGGATCGGGGGGGATAGAAAGCCGAGGGGAATCGAGGAGCGAGACTCGGGAGACTCGTGCTCCCGTGTCGGGAGCGGCCAAGAGGGGGGTGTCCAAAGATGGGGGGGTGCAAATCATGATGGCGGCATGTGCGCGGCCCAGCGGGGGGGCCAGGGACGTAATGAAATAAGAGGAGGCGCCATGACATCTGGGGAGATATCATGGCCCGCGCCATGATATCCCCCCCTAGTCATCACCCCCTTCTTTGCCGCCCCCGACTCCTGTGTGCAGTCGGGCTTCATTGGACAGGATACGCGAGAGGACACAAGACCCTTCCGAGGGTCACATTGCCAAGGGAATGCAGGAGGCACGGGCCGCCAAACACAGGACTCCGCACCTTCGGCGACGCCATCCGATCCCACCAGGTGATCCTCACAGGCGGCGGCCCGCCATGTGAAACGTGGAGCGCGGCGAGATGGTCGGACATGCCAGGGCCGCCGCCGCTGAGGACTCACGACGAGTACTGGGGGGTGCCGCTCGCCACCCCCAAGCAGAGGCTGCAGCTGGCGGTCGGCAATGCGCTGCTCCAGGCCATGGTGCAGCTGATGGCGGACCACCTGGCAGCAGGCAGCGCGGCGTGGATGGAGCACCCCATCCCGGCGCACTGGCGCCGCGAGGCTGTGACGAGCTGGACGTGGGAGCCCCTCTTGGCACTCCAGTCGTGCCCAGTCGTCAGCACCACGGACTTCGACCAGTGCGAGCACGGCGGCAAGGCAGGCAGGGCACCGACGAGGATCGTCGGCGTGCGGGTGAGCGGCCTGCATCGACGCCTGAGGGCGACGCCCGGCCAAGGGCGTTGCTCGCACGGACGCGGAGCGCACTCAGTGCTCCTGGGTAAAGCAGAGACGGGGGGGGAGTTCAAAACGGCGGCCAAGAAGGTCTACCCCCCCGGCCTTTGCAGGGCCCTTGCCGAGTCGATTGTCCAGACGGTTGCGGATTTTGCGGCCCTGGAACCTGGGGCCGGGTCCCAGAACGAGCCGAATTGTCCTGAGGTGGAGGGTCTTCGGGATTTTTTCGTCGGGTCCATTCCTGAAGAGGGAGTTGCCTGGGCGCCGGATTTTCGGGCTGGGCCTCGGAGCTCTCGACCTGATCCCGAGAGGGAGCGCTTCAGGCGCCCTCTGGTCCTGGCGTTCGCGGGGTCCCAGTGTACCTCCCCTGGCCCCAGCCTACCGCCAGGCAGCCAGGCCCCCAGGTTGGACCCCCCCGAGGACCCCACCCAAGAGGACCTTTACGTAGGCTCCGTTGGGCTCGCTTCTCCCTTTGTTCCCCCTTCGCCTCTCCCGCCCCCTCCCCCCCTCCTCAGCGAGTCCCAACGCGAGCGAATTCGAGCGAACCGAGCCGAGGCGATGAGGCGACGCCATGTAAGACGTGCCCCATGGATCGCACAATCCGGCTTTGCGTTCCTCTTCTAGCTTTTGCTCCCCCCCCTTCCCAAGGGCTGGTTGAGCGCATAGCACGCCCGTTGGGTGTGCTATGCCCGACGCGCGCATCAGCTGCGCGTGTCGGCTTCCTTTCGGCGTGTCGATTTACGACCGAGGCCGCAGTGATCCCTGATCCCCCACCCGCGACCCTCCCCGAGCTCCGCCTGGGGCTGCCCACCTGGGTGGCCACGGAGGCTCCAGGGAGCGCCCCAACGGGCGCGAGGCGCCGCCTCCCGCCTGGATCGGGGGGGATAGAAAGCCGAGGGGAATCGAGGAGCGAGACTCGGGAGACTCGTGCTCCCGTGTCGGGAGCGGCCAAGAGGGGGGTGTCCAAAGATGGGGGGGTGCAAATCATGATGGCGGCATGTGCGCGGCCCAGCGGGGGGGCCAGGGACGTAATGAAATAAGAGGAGGCGCCATGACATCTGGGGAGATATCATGGCCCGCGCCATGATATCCCCCCCTAGTCATCACCCCCTTCTTTGCCGCCCCCGACTCCTGTGTGCAGTCGGGCTTCATTGGACAGGATACGCGAGAGGACACAAGACCCTTCCGAGGGTCACATTGCCAAGGGAATGCAGGAGGCACGGGCCGCCAAACACAGGACACAGAGGTACCCTTGGTTTGGCAAAGTCGACCTATTAGTCCGGGCCGACTGTAATATACCAGAGAAAAACCCCTGACAATGGATAGTTTCAAATGGGATCGATAAATAGATCGGCAGAGATCGCTAAGGAGATCGACCGGGAACCCGGGAACCCGAGAACCCGGAACCCGCCAGAGTCGGCCCAGAACCAATGACCAGGAACCCGGGAAACAGGGACCAGGAACCCGCCGAAATCGGCCCAGAACCAATGACCAGGAACCCGGGAAACGGGAACCAGGAACCGGGGAACTCAGCCGGCCACCAAAATCGGCGGGACACTTTCGCCAAATCTTTTAATTTCCGCTTGGACCCTTTCAGTGCAAGATGGTGGAACATCTATTTTTTGAGGGGAACGATGCGGACAGCATACGCAGCCACTCGCAGCGCCATCCAAAACTAAGCAGCACGCATTGTGTGTGAAACCCCATGTGGCGCCCAGGCGCACGCTAGAGACACACAGTGGCAACCGACCGCAATGCCGCGCGCAACGGAAATGTCAAAAACACATGATCGCCCCGGACCCGGACAGGGAAGGAAGAAGAAGAGGAGGAAGGGTTAAGGAACAACGGAGACCGCACAAACGGAGCCAACAGGCAGAGCTGGGTTGTTAAAGTGCTTTGTTTGACAGGAACAAAAAATAAGATGGTGGAACAGTGCGCGGGGGAACGTTTTCTTGATTCGGCGTTTCGACATCGAGCGGAGGGGGGGGGAAATAGGGGGCGTCTGGCTCCGGACCTCTGCTCAGCGCGACTGTTTGCAACCGTGCGCCCTCTCGGGGCGACCCCACCTCCTCGGAACATGCACCAAAAAACGCCAAGATCTACTCCAGGGGAGGGGAGCAGGGGGAGAGGGGCTGCGAGGGCCCGCGCCGATCGGCCAAACAACAAATCAGAACACGACCGCGCGCGTGTGCTGCTGCTTCGCCTTCTGGGACGCCATCGCGGCCCCACGGCCGGATCCGATCCTCGAGACCGCGGCCATAACACGCAACCCAGAATCGATGGGGGCTCGAGGATACCGAGGCTTCGGAATCCGTTCTGGGCTACTTCCCAGGGGCCTCCTGAGGCACCATCGTGGCCGCGGCTGGAGCTGCTTCGAGATGGCCACGAGGCGGCCCTGGGAAGCCCCAAAAAGAGGCAGTCAGAACGAACAAAAGATGGGGGGGGGGCAAAAAGATAGCCGTGCCGCTGCTTGCCGAACCTCTCCTGGGGCGCGTTCTGGCCAGACCGTCGGAGCGAATCCAGCCGTGGAGACGAGGGCCTCTCATGATCTCAGAGTGCATGCCGGCGAGGGCAGCGAGGAGAGGGTAGCAGTATTGGTGCCTGTTCCTCCTCTGCCCCCCCCCCTTCACCACCCCCCGTGGCAACGAGGGAAGGGCAGGGGCACGAGACAAACAGACACCGACGAAGGCATACAGATGGCGGGTTCAACAGAACCCTGCATCGAAAAACCTGGCCATCTTATGGGAGGCCGATTCTTCGGCCACGCGCAAGAGTGGCCCTAGGCGAGACTGACCTTTGGTGCGCGCCTTTACGGGGGGGCGCGGGGGAGCCAAGCCAAAGCGTGCATGCTGCTGCTGTCGCACCGCACTCAGAGATCTGGAGACCTCAATGGGCGCGCTCCTCCTCCTCCTGCTCCTCCTCCTTCTCCTCCTCCTCCTCCTCTGCTTCCACTGGCTTCTGCGGGCCCCCCGCCGGCGGAGGCGGCCTCGTGCTGCGTCCGCCGCCCTCCCCCGCCCCTCCGCCCAGGAAGAAGTAACAGCGCATTCGATCCTCGGAGGCGAGGCCCTTTCTTGAATGCCTCAAATTCGAGCAGGGACCGACCGTCCGGGCATTCCTATAGTCCTACCACGAAATGTTCTCACAACCCAAAAAATGCTCTAAGAACAAAAGCAATGTTCTTAGAACATGAGCCCGATGTGTTAAAACAAAACAGTCGCAGCCAGAATTGTTTCTAAGAACATTTCAGGGAAGCCACAAAAGGCTCTTAGAACATTGTTTCTTGGGGCTATGGGAGAGCCAGGACGCTTCGCC